AGGCCACGGGTTCGGATCCCATATAGGGATGGCCGGTTTGCTCACTGGGTGAGCGTGGTGCTGACACCAGGTCAAGGGTTAAGATCCCCTTACTGGTCATCTTTAATAAAAAAAAAAAAGAAATAGAAAAGAAGACACTACAACTGATACCACATTGAAATACAAAGAATCATTAGAGACTATTATAAACAACCATACATCAACAAATTTGAAAACCTGGAGGAAGTGGATAAACTTCTGGACACATACAAACTACCATCACAGAACCAAGAAGAAATAGAAATCCTGAACAGACCAATAACAAGCAACATGATTGAAGCAGTAATCAGCAGTCTCCCAACAAAGATAGGCCCAGGACCAAATGACTTTACTCCCGAATTCTATCTAAACTTTAAAGGGGAATTAATACAAATTCTTTTCAAACTATTCCAAGAAATGAAAACAGAGGCCATTCTCCCAAACTAGTTCTATGAGGCCAGCATCACCCTGATACCAAAACAAAGATACAACAAAAAAAGAAAAGTACAGGCCAATATCCTTGATAAACATAGATGCAAAAATCCTCAACAAAATATTAGCAAACAGAATACAATAGCACATCAAAAAAATTATACACCATTATCAAGTGAGATTCATCCCAGGGATGCAAGGATGGTTCAGCATATGCAAGTCAATAAATGTGATATACTATATCAACAAAATCAAGGATGACAAAAACCATATGATTATTTCAATAGACACAGAAAAAATATTTGACAAAATTCAACATCCCTTCATGATAAAGACTCTGAACAAATTAGGTATAGAAGGAAAGTATCTCAACACAATAAAAGCCATATACGACAAACCCACCACCAATATCATTCTGAATGGGGAAAAACTGAAAGCTTTTCCTGTAGGAATAGGAACAAGACAAGGATGCCCACTCTCACACTCCTATTTAACATAGTATTGGAAGTACTAGTCTGAGCAATCAGGCAAGAGAAAGAAATAAAGAGCATCATTATTAGAAAAGAGGAAGTCAAACTTTCCCTGTTTGCAGATGACATAATCCTATATATAGAAAAACCTAAAGACTGTAACAAAAAACTCTTAGAGCTGATAAACAAATTCAGTAAAGTTGAAGGATACAAAATCAACATACAAAAATCAGTAGTGTTTCTATACACCAGCAATTAACTAGCAGAAAAAGAAATCAAGAAAGCAAGCCCATTTACAATAGCTACCAAAAAGATAAAATACCTAGGATAAAATACCTTGGTTAAATTTACCAAGTAGGTGAAAAATCTCCAAAAGAAGAACTATAAATCACTGCTGAAAGAAATTAAAGAGGACACAAAAAGATGGAAAGACATTCCATGCTAACAGACTGGAAGAATTAAGGTTGTGAAAATGTCCATATTACCCAAAGCAATCTACAGATTCAATGTAATCTCCATCAAAATACCAATGACATTCATCAGAAATAGAAAAAGCAATCCTAATATTCATTTGGAACAACAAAAGACCCTGAATAGCCAAAGCAATCCTGAGCAAAAAAATAAATAAAGTCAGAAGAATTATACTACCTGACCTCAAATTATACTATAAAACTATAGTAACAAAAACAGAATGGTACTGGCATAAAAACAGGCACACAGACCAGTAGAACAGAATAGAGAACTCAGAAATCAATACATGTGCTTACAGCCAACTGATATTCAACAAAGGCACGAAGAACATACATTGGGGAAAATACAGCCTCTTCAACAAATGGTGCTGGAAAAATTGGAAATCCACATGTAGAAGAATGAAACTAGACCTGTACCTCTCACCATATATCAAAATCAACTTAAAATGGATTAAAGACTTAAGTATAAGATCTGAAACTATAAACCTCCTAGAAGAAAACATCAGGGAAAAACTTCAGGATGTAGGACTGGGCAAAGATTTTATGAATAAGACCTCAAAAGCACAGGCAACAAAAGAAAAAATAAACAAATGGGATTATATCAAACTAAAAAATCTTCTATACAGCAAAGGAAACAACAAGAGTGAAAAGACAACCTACAGAATGGGAGAAAATATTTACAAACTATACATCTGACAAGGGATTAATATCCAGAGTATACAAGGAATTCAAACCACTTAACAGTAAAAAAAAACCAACCCAATTAAAAAAATTGGCAAAGGAGCTGAATAGACATTTCTCAAAGAAAGACATACAAATGGCCAACAGATACATGAAAAAATGTTCAACATTACTAATCATCAGGGAAATGCAAATCAAAACCACAGTGAGATATCATCTCACCCTAGTTAGGCTGGCTATTATCAAAAAGACAGAAAATAACAAATGCTGGTGAGGATGTGGAGAAAGGGGAACCCTCCTACACTGTTGGTGGCACTGTAAATTGGTGCAGCTATTATGGAAACAGTATGGAGGTTTTTCAAACAACTATAGATAGAACTGACATACCATCATGCAATCCTACTGCTGGGTATATACCCAAAGGAATAGAAATCATCATGTCAAAGAGATGCCTGCACTCCCATGTTCATTGCAGCTCTATTTACAATAGCCAAGAGTTGGAACCAACCTAAATATCCATGGACAGACAACTGGATAAGGAAAATGTGGTATATGTACATACTGGAATACTACTCAGCCATAAAAAGAATGAAATTCTGCCATTCACAGCAATGTGGACAAGCTTGGAGAAAATTATGTTGGGTGAAATAAGCCAGACACAGTAAGAGAGATACCATAGGTCCTCACTCATAAGTAGGAGCAAAAGAAGGAAGGAAGGAAGAAAATTCACGATAATACATTGAACTTTCAGAAGGAGAGAGCAAAACTGTGGTTACTACAGGTGGTAATGGGGGGATAACAAGAACTTGGTTAAGGGTCACAAAAAATGGTTACTCTTTGTAATGATAAACATACTAATTATCCTGATTTGATCATTACATATTGTACACAGTTATTGATATTCAACTCTGTATCCCACAAATATGTATAATCAATTATTTCACTAAAAAAGACTCCCCTAAAAAGAAGAGGGTGCCCTGAATATCCAATGTGAGTATTCAGATCTGCTTAGCAGTTATATTTCTCACTGCCAATTAATAAACAGACATTCTGGTTTGTATATCAGTATCTTATGAGTTGGATCATTCATTTGTTCATTCATATATTCAACTAACATTTATTGAGTGCCTACTAGTCTACTGTTTTAAATACCAGAAATATAGAAGTATACAAAACAGATAAAAACTGTCCTCATGGCACTTACATTCTATTACAATGAAGAGAGACAAAAATTTTTAAGGAAAATATTAGATAGTGATAAATTCTATAGAGAAAAAGAAAGCAGGGAAGGGGGAAAGGATGGACTGGGGGGGGGGGGCGTTACGATTTTAAATAGGGTGTTCAGTCCTTATGGAGAAGACATTTGTCTTTTGTCTTTTTCCGTGTCCGGCAACGGATCACAACCCTCAGTGTTGCCCCCATACCAGACCGGGGCCCGGCAACGGGATTGCAACCCTCGGTGCTGCTCCCGCGCCTCGCTCAGCCAGTGAGCGGGAACCGGTCTGTATGTGGGATCCGAACCCTCGGGAGGGAGGGCCGCCGCGCTTCCCAAGCGGCGCACTATCCAGTGCGCCACCAGGCCGGCCCTGGAGAAGACATTTGAGCAAGTACCTTAAGGAGGTGAAGGAAGTAGCCACGCAGACGGCCAGGGAAGAGCATTGCAGGCAAAAAACCACCAAGTTCAAAGGCCTGAGGTAGAGAGTGCCTGGTTTGTTTTCAGATCAGCAGACAGCAGAAAGGCCAATGTGAGTGGAGTGAGCAAGGTGGACAGTAGGAGGAGAGGAAGCAAGAAGATCAAGCGTGGGGATGAGGGGAAGACTGTGCAGGGCCCTGTAAATCAGCATTAGGATTTTGGTTTTTTTCTTTTTTCCTGGCAGCTGGCTGGTACAGGGATGGAACCCTGGACCTTGCTGTTATCAGCAGCACATTCTAACCAACTGAGCTGACTGGCCAGCCCAGGATTTTGGATTTCACTCTGAGTGAGATGTGGAGTCATTGGAGGGTTCTGAGCAGGGAAGTGACATGATCTGCCTTTCATTTTAGAAGCAGCACTCTGTGGCCGGCCCCGTGGCTCACTCGGGAGAGTGCAGCGCAAGGCCGCGTGTTCGGATCCTATATAGGGATGGCCTGGGCGCTCACTGGCTGAGTGAATACTGAATTGAGAATAGAGTGTAAGGGGGCAATGGTGGAAGCAGAAAGACCTGTTAGGAGGCAATTGCAATAAAGCAGGTGAGAGGTCACAAATTTTTAAGAGAAAACAGTTTGTCAAGCAGGACTACAAGATTTGGGGCCTGAGTTATCAAAAGAATGAAGTTTCCATTTGCTGAGATAGGAAAGACTAGGGAAGGGGCAGATTAGGTGAGGAAGATCAGGGGTTTGGTTTCAAACACTAAATTAGGCTTGAGATGCCCATGAGATGTCCAAGTAGAGCTAAAAGAAGGCATCCATGTATAAAAATATGGAGTTCAGGAAAGAATTGGGAGTCATCAGGACACAGATGACCTTTAAAGCCATGAGACTAGATGAGATCACCATGGAAATCACTTTAAATAGAGAAAAGGCTCAAGAACTGAGCCTGGAACACTCCAATATTTAAGAAGTCATGGAGTTGAGGAAGAACCACAAAGGAGACTGAGGAGTGACCAATAGTTATCAAGCGCCAGCCCCCTGAGCCAGCTCGCTGCACGGTACCCTGATAAAGCTGAATTTCTGGGATTCACAAAGAATAGATATGCAGGGACATGCAGTAAGCCATCAAGCTACTGCTGTCCTGTTAAATCTGGCTAAGTAGTCGGTTAGCCTTTCCCTTTGATATCTTTTAAATGCAACAATTCTCATGCAAATTATGTGCAAAATAGCAACGGCATGGCAATATTATAGTAGATATGGCTAGACTCTGGTTTGGGGACATTAAAGTCCAGAACCATGCATGCCACACTTGCAGGAGGAGCTCAGTCCTGTGACCCTCCAACCAGGCCCTCAGGCCAGCCTTGGAGAACACCCAGAAGAGACACAGAAAATCACTCCCAGTGCCCCAATAGCAAAGGGCTTTGTGGATGATGGCAGTCAGCTGCTGCTACTTTCATTGCTGCTGCCAACACCTGCTGACCTAGAAGTCAAAGAACACTTTATACCTTATCAGCAGATTAGGGGTGAGGGTGAGTGTCAAGTTAAGGTTAGCACTTCCAATCTGTGATGGGTTAAGTCCCAAAACCTTAAACCTCTCCTCAGGATATTCCATCCACATCCTGCTGTGATTGAAACCCTGGCAGTCTGCTGACTCTTTCCAGGTGTAGGCTGTTTATTTTCTCATCCCCTCCCCCCACCACAAAATGGCTGAGGGAGTGCTGGGAGGTAGAGCCAGGGCTCTCCTTTCTTCCAAGACCACCTTCTGCTCTTTGTTCCTCCTCCCTCCTGAGAAATCTCTGGCTCTTCCTTGGCTCATACCAGCTAGTTATAATACCCTTCCTGGTGGCAGTCTTTGTCACCTTTCCAGTCACTGCCCTCATCTGTGAAGACTTTGACTCACAATCTGTCCTCTTCATCCCAACTTCTCCCATTATTCTCAGTGATTTCAGCACCCACATGGTCAACCATCCAGCACCCTGGCCTCTTGTTTCCTTGACCCGCCCATTGCCAATGACCACTGCCATTTTGGGAAGCACTTTACAATCCAGAACACCAGTATGGGGCCTTGTATCTTGAAGGTCCGTGTACACAAATGCATTCTTTTCATTGGTACATCAAGACTTGATTTCCTGAGGCTGACAACCCTTTAATACAAGAAGTATGAAAAGTATGTATAATTTCTATTAGGAATTAGGCCTGCGCTTCATTCTTTTCTGTTTTGTTTTCAATTGAACTCACCATGGGTCCATGATTACAACAGGATTTTAAAGTGTAACAGCAGATGAAAATAAACCCCCAACAATACAAAAATACATATGCATGAGGTTATTCATTGCACCATTGTTTATAATTGCAAGATATTGGAAACAACCTAAATGTCCACACATAGGAGTACGCTTGAATAAGCTGTGGTACAACCATACAATAGAAAACTACGTGGCTGTAAAAAAGAATGAGAAAAATCTCTATGAACTTTAGTGACTTCCAGGATACAGTGTACAGCAAAAAAAAAGTAAAGTGCCAAATACATATCTGTAGAATGCTACCTTTTGTGTCATAAAGGGAAACATTTTCATACAAACACCTATGCAAAAATGTGCACAGCAGCTTTATTCATAATCGCCAAAAACTGGAATGAGCCCAAATGTCCATCAATGGATAATGGATAAACACATTGTGGTACACTCATACCATAGAATAATGCTCAGCAATAAAAAAGAAGAAACTCTCGATGGACACAAAGACACGGATGAATCTCAAAGGCATAATGCTGAGTGGAAGAAGCCAGTCTCAACAGGTTACACACCATATACTTCCATGTATATGACATTCTTAAAAGGCAAAACCATAGGGACAGACAACAGATTAGAGGTGGCCTAGGATAGAGTTAGGGGAGGCCTTGACTACAAACGGGCAGCACGTGGGAATTTGGGGGGCTGATGGAACAGTTCCATATCCCAATTGTGGTGGTGGTCACACAAGTCTATATGTGTGGCCAAGCTCCTAGAGCTCCACACTGAAACAAGATAATTGTACTGTACATAAATTAGAAAAAGTATAGTTGTGAAGGTTGTGGTAAAATGTGGTGAGTTTAGTCCTAGGTCTTCAGATAGGTATTAGAGATGTATCATTCCAACTCTTGGACTTTATATTAGTGTTATAAAAACACCAGCAGCAAAGAAACTAAAAGTATCATGTGACTAACATGAAAAATAACTGAAATTTGGATTACCATGGTTTGGTAATGAGAGTAAATTAATTTCCATTATGTGACATATTCATCCCTAGCGCAGTCCTGTTATAGAGTGAGTATTCGATTAATAGTTGGCAATGAATAAATGAGTCTGTGAATAGATAAATGAATGAATGAAAAAGGCTCACACATTTTATGAAAAACCTTCCTGCTTCAAACATCATCAAAAAAATTGAAGCAGAATGGAAGGACATTCAAGCATCGTATAAAGTTAAATACAGTGGACCAAATGCAAAAGCTGTGGAAGCCACATTTGCTAGTGTTATGTTTAATTGCAAAGGTTAGAGCTGCTAAAGTCATTGGTGACCCATTTGTAAAACTGCTGCCAAAGAAATGGTGAAAATGATGACTGGGAACAAAGCAAATGCCTTTCAAATATCATAGTTCATTTTAGAATTACAGATGTAGCTGGAACTTAAAATGGTAAATATCCAGTTTCTGACAAGACTGATATTATTTGCTGCAAGTTGATGAATCCACTGATCTTGTGAATTTAGCTAATCTTTTGGCATTTATTATATATGACCTAAATAAATAATTTTATGAACAATTAAGAATAATCTGTCAACCTTTTCCAACTCATGCAACTGAAAGAAAGATTTCCTTCCTTCCTCCCTTTCTTCTTTCTTTCCTTCCTTTCTTCTGTCCTTCATTTATTCATCTAACTAATGATTACTGGGCACTAACAATGTGCAAGCCACTGTCTCAAGCAATGGGGACATAGCTGTGAACAAGCGACAAGATCCCTTCCCTCATGGATCTTACATTCTGGTAGGTGGAAACAGACAAACCAACAGAAAAGAAAACTAGCAGATAGGGATAACACTATACAGAGAATTTAAATGGGGCAATGTGGTAGAGTGAATGGGGGCTTTGCAGATTGGGTGGTCAGAGGAGATAACATTTAAGCTGAGCTGTGAATGACAAGGAACTAGCTCTGCAAACATCTGGGGAATCAACATTCCAAGCAGAGGCAGCAGCTACAGCAGTGGTTCTCTGCAGGAATGGCACCACCTCCTAGGAGGCATTTTGGAAATTGGAGAGGGGGCCCACAATGATGGGGTATTCTACTGGCATTTAATGGACAAAGGCCAGGATGCTGCACATCTGCAATGTACAAGACAGTTGTGCATCCTTCAAGGCTCTCAAAGATCCCACCAGACATTCAAGTAAAGTGGAAAAATTATCCGAGTCAAGAGCTTAACTCTGCTTTACTCCTAAAGACAAAACCTTTTTTACACAGTATTTATGTACATGGCATTTTCCAGGAAGGCAAGTACCATGTAAACAGAAGGAAGATTGTGTTGTGTTTCATTCAGAACTTCAAGAGTCGTTTACCATGAAAAACAAAAAAACATGAACAAAGAAAAAACACCTCACCAATGGCAAGGCAATATCACAGAAAACACTGCACCTGATGGAAATGCTTCAGAGAAAATCAATGGAGAGAATTTTTTAAAATTGATAATACATGACCATGGTAAAAAGGAAAAAAAAGCAAACAGTAAGGGCACACAGTCAAAACTCAATCTCCATTCCACCTCTGTTTCCAAGTCCCCCGGTTTCCTTCACCAAAGATAACCTAATTGTCAGGGTTTTTCTGATATCCTTCCAGAGGAATTATTTTATTTTTATTTTGAGGGAAGGAAAGAAGGAAGAAAGGAGGAGGCGAGGGAGGAGAAAACAACCCCATATAAATGAATATTTATTTGTCTGAACACAAAAAATATTGTGAGGAAGGATGCATGCATGCACGCCAAGCTCTTAACTGTGGTTACCTTCAGAGCATGGACAGGGGGATTTAACTTTCTTCAATACATCTCTGTACTATATTATGTACATTGATCTTAAACATAAATAAATCCCTGAAGGTATCCTATATTTGGACTGTGACTTGTAGACAAGCTAACATTACTGCTTGTTTTTCACACTTGTTAAAAACTTTAAGAACATAGTAGATTAAGGATCTCCAACTTTGGAAAGTGTACGTAATGTGAAACTGAGGTGCTATGTTAAAAATAAGTATATGATAACTATAAAAAGGAAAAGGAAAGAGGCAGGCAGTAAAAAAAAAAAAAAATCTTAGAAGTAATATTGTTACATAAGGAAGAAGATTCAAGCCAGTAGGCAACCTCCTGTCACCCTAGTCAAGCCTTGAGAGGCGCTAACAGTTTTTTAATCCTCCAGCTCTCATTTTTCTGTTTCTCTTCTCACTAACTGAAGTCTTCTCTCAGCACACTACCTTAGCTTAACTTCCTAATATTTCTTATGTTATAGTTTATCTTGCTATGTTTATAACAATGTTGGTTGATTCCTGTTCTCCTAATGTTTGTTTTATTCTTTTATTCTTTACTCTTATGAAATAAATTAAAATTAGCATGGAATTTTGTAAATTGCAAAAGTAGCATATACCCCTTGTACCAAGACATATACCCAATGCATAGCAAATGAATGAGACTCTGGCTGAGTAAAATCTGAACTCACCTTGTAAGCACATTATCATGAAAAGACAGAAGGCATTAAATAAATATTTCACTGTTACTCATTTTACTGTTCAATGTATCTGTAGTGAAAAAATATACATTTTACTTTCAAGATTACAATAGGCCATCAGCTCAGTAACTCTCTTGGCCAATAGCTGTAAAGACTAAAATGGCTCTTCTAATTCTGGATGCTCTCTCACCATTTCAATTTTCTTTTATAACAAATGGTATTCTGAAGAGCCAGATTTTAAAGCTATTTATATGTGAATGTTAATAGATTATAAACTCCACCAGAAGGTGAAATCCTTCACCATGGACAGTGACTGAAGATAGACTAAGCTACTGGTTTAAAGCTAATCTACTAAGTTTTTCTAGAAAGTCTGCTATAAAACATGCAATAAAATTATGAAGATAACTTTAGGATGTCATATGTTCACATTCTGGTAAAAAGATAAAACTAAATTATAAGGCTGCAGTTGGCATATAAATACAAAATCAGATTATATATCAACATATTTTTCATTTTAAGGAGTTTGAGGGTTAGGTTTTTGCTTTTTGGTGTATGTGTACATGTATTTGTGTATTTTGAGCTAATAAATATTTAATTTACATAAATAATAAATAAATAAATAAAACAATAAAACGGCTCTTTTTGCCTCTGGCCCACTCTTATTTGTGCTGAAAACAAAAAGAATGGCAATGCTGAAGAAAACGGTGTAGCCGGTTCCCAAGATGGATACAGGTGAAGCTCTCACACAAGCTGTCTTAAAACAAAACAAAAACAACCCAACGCAGTTGATCTGATCTCCATACAATGGGGTTACGGCCTCAACCGTTCCATCCCAGGGCAGAACTTCCTGAAAGAGCCTTAGGATCTAGTCCTGTTATTCAGCAGAGTGCTTTAGGACAGAACTGGGACCTGATGGTTTCTTTATCGTAGTCCCCAAATTCCAATTCAAGCCCTTTTGAAGTCTGGTGTCCTTTGGTCTTCAGAGTCATAGGCCTACTTTCTCCAACTTCTCAACAGCCATGAAATTAGCTTACAGCAAGACAGGAGAATCCATAAAACATGAAAAATAAGCATTTCCCAATTTTTGAGAGCAGAACAAGGCCTATGTAACCAGAACAAGTTCTCTCAATTGAAACACTGCAATGCCTTTGTGAAAAGGTTTCTTTATTCGTATTTAGTAATAACTATACAAACCTAAAAGCAACTATGTACCTGGGACATCTTGCTCACACTGACTGCTGACTGTCCTTTCCTTGTAATTATTATTATTGACACGGCTTTGTAAAAAAAAAAATGAGACAGAAATTTGGGATTTTTTTGACTTACAAAAATCCTTCTGAGATTCTATCCAAGTCATTCTTAGCTCTTCTTTGCCTCTGTTGTCCTCTTAGCTAACAGAACCACTGAAAAATGTCCCGACGGGAGTTACACTCTGTAGTTCCAGTGGACGTGTAGTGTAGCTGTCAGTGGATGTTGGCACAGAACTGGTCTAGATTTGAATCCTAGCTCCGCTTTGTAGTAGCTATGACCTTGAGCAAGTTAATCTCTCTGTGTCTTGGTTTCCTCTTCCGTAAAATAATATCTACTCATAACCAACACATATATACTGCTTACCCGTACCAGTCATTGTTCATTCAATCCTTATGACAACCCCTAGGAGGAAGAAACTATAATTTCCATTTTATGGATGAAGCAACTGAGGCACAGAGAGGTTGAGTGACTTCTCTGAAGTCACACAGCTGGTAAGCTGCAGAGCCGAGATTCTCAGGCAGGTTCCAGAGTCCAGGCTCTAACCACCACACCTACAGCCTCTCCAAATGAGGACATACCTACTAAGGGCTGTTTTGAGGATTATATGTGATAATGTATGTAAAGCCCTTCCAGTCTTTTTCTCTGGGTAGAAAAAAAGGGGTTGGAGGGAAGCGGGGGTGGAGGAAAGAGCCAGGGGAGGAAGAGGGCGAGATGGGATGTGAAAAGAAGAGGCAAACAAGAGAGGAAGGGGACAGCTGAATACTTAGGAAACAAGAAGTCTAGCTGGCTAGACCTTCAGAGAACAGGGTGACTATTTCTAAACTGAAAATCGAAACTCGCGCCCCGCCAGCTGAAGAGCATATAGAGACGTTAAATCCTCGAGGCTTCAGACCCGGGCCGGGGCCCTCGACCTCACGCCGTTCCCCGGGGCCGGCTCCGGGCTGGGCGCGGACGGAGCTTCCCGTCTCTCCCGCGGATCCGCCCCACGCCAGGCGGGGCCTGGCCCGCCCCCTCCGCTGGTGGCCCGAGAGCCCCAGGCCCGAGCCACGCGGGCTGCCCGGCCGGGGCTCGATGGCTACGTGGAGGCGGGACGGCAGGCTGACCGGCAGCCAGCGGC